CAGATACACCCTCACTGTGCATGCACGAATACGCGAGTGCACCCACATATTAAGTACACATTTTTCCCCCCTGTGGTGGGTCGGGTCTGAATTTCCTTTGAAGGCTATAAGCACAGGTTAAAGTAAAAGATAGCATCTTTACCTACATTTCTAACTTGGCCTTCTCCTAGGCATCTGGTGACAGGCTCCATGAAATTTCTGAGTTGCCAAGGGAGCAAATTTGGTCAACCCACAGTGAAGCTAATCGTTTGCCTTGGGTCCTGAACGTCCTCTGGCATTACTTGGAAATAGGGTAGTCAATCGTCAAACAGTCAAGAATCTGGCTCTGGGGAGAACCTGGGCTGGAAGCGGGTCCTTGCCAACCTGGTGGGGGTGAGAGGCAGGCAGAGTGCTTCTCAAACTGGCTGTGGACTATTTTCTCTGTTTTTGAAGAGTCACTTGCAGGGTGGTGGAGAGGAGCAAGAAATCGAGGCTCCCAGAAGCCATCACTGGCAGGAGTTAATATGCTGCCCCTCAACCCTCATGCCAAGGTGGAAAGCGCTGGGAGGTCTGGCACACAGCGCCTCGCCACTGCCTAGTTGGCAAAGGCTGCCGCTGCCAATCATCTATCACTTGGCAACAAGTTCCACCTGCAGCGGCTCTGGTTTGAGGCTCAGGCAGGTGGGCGCCCATGGGGTGGGCAACCCTCTCGGTTGGGGGACATCTCCACTGGAAAGGGCCCACAGAGAGCACCCTGAGAGATAAGCAAGGAGCACGGCCACGTGCAATGCGAAGCCACTTACCTCCTAGTTAGAGGCTCAGGGAAACAAGGGTAAGGTCGTATTTGGAAACAATGTTCAGGGCTACGGTGGAAAGAAATGAGACCATTTCAAAGTGCCCCATCCAAGTTCCCCCAAAGCATAAAGCATTCCTGCAAAGCACACTGGAGTGCAGGGTGTTTATAAAATAAATTGCTCCATTGATATGGAAAATAATGTGCCAACCCTGACTCATACAAAGCATTTTCAGGGGGTCTTTGGCTATTTAGTGTAAAATCTAAATTGAAAAGCAGAGGAAAGAAATCTTTCAATTGCTAAGTGGATAATATAGTTTATAATTTGTAAACCATTTCCTTTATATCAGTCTTGCTGACTTCCCTAACACACTGGATCTCACTGCACACCCATGGCCTCCTAAATTATCCAAGGAAAAATGGGTCTATAGCACTCTTAAACATTATTCCTGTTCCCTTTTTGTTCATTCACAATGTAACTGATATTTGGAGGTAGTGCATGAAACAAATAAAAAGGTTTAACAAACCTGACTGTTGAAATAAGAAGGCAGTTGAAAATGGAGTTTACAGCCTAGATGTTTGGCAAAAAATAAATATGAAATGATGTTTCATTTTTAATATAATTATATATTATTGGATGAGTTTACTATTAAGTGCTGAATGATTTGAGATGAAGGCAGTTTACTCGGCAGAAAAATCAATCTGCTGTGTACTGCATATGGTAGCAACCCTGCAATAAAAAAAAAAAAAACCTTACAGTAATAATCATAGTAACTGGGAGGGAAAAAAGTATTATTCCTGTACCTTGGACAAGCGACAGGGTCAGGAAATTCACAACCTTGGGTTTTTTTAATAGAAAAGAGAGCGGTGTCTCATGTTCACAGCTCAACATCCTCGAATACGCTTGTTACTACCCTTATCCTAGCATCTTCTCACATGCGTATTTCTGTTACACGAATCGAGGCATCCGTGAAGGCCCCACTTTATCCACCACCCATCTGCTTAGGTCCCCTCACCCCAGAGCACAGGCGGACACTCTCCTGCAGTCCCTAAGAACCAGGGAGACAATTCACCTCAATGGGTTTTGTGAATAAAGACTTTGGGCCACTTCAACACTCTAAAGGAAAACTCAGCCGGAGCCCAACAGCGCCTGAAGATGGGTTTGGAAATTTCTTGTACATCTCGCCATCGGGGACATCTAGAAATGTAAGAATTATAGCTGCCAAGCTACGTGGACGCCTTGATCATGGCACGAGCTCTGCCCTTCTTTTGCCTAACGCAGGGAAACCGCAGCTGTCGCCGGGCCCCGAGCCCCTCCTTTCCACCTGTTTTGGGTGGGCCCCGCACAATTCAGGAAGCTGTGGCAGCTCCCAGGCAGCTTGCAGAAGACTCGCTTCAGAAAGGCTTGCATTCTTTTTCGGTTCCAAAAACTTTTTCAACCCTCGAAGTAGCTAAATTCCAGATAATCTTGCTTATGACCTTCCCAGAAATTCAAGATGAGGTATTTGGAAGCATCCCAGACTATAATCTCCAGGCTCCTTCAAAGAGCCTCTCCCACCCCTCACCGCGTGGGAGAGTTCAGGGCAAATCCTAAACGTAGCGGAGAACCGCCATCCCCCCTCCCCATCGCTAGGACTATGGGGCCTGGACTGCCAAGGCCTGTTCAGGAGAGCGGCGCTGGAGAACTCCAAATGCGCCGAGGGAGGCTGCATGAGCGCGCGGGGCGGGGGGTAGGGGGGGCTCGCCGCTTGCCGCTGGAACGCGCAGAACCAGGGGGCAGTTCGGGCGGCCTCCGGCTCCGCTCCTCTCTGAATCCCCACGGAGATGAGATGCCGGCCTGGTCTCCAACTTTCCCCTTCCCTGCTGGCCTGGACTTAGCTGGCGGGGCAAGGAGCAGGAGCTGGGTCTCCAATGCGCGCCTAGAAACCTGGCCCGGGATATTCCTCCCGCACCCCCTCCCATGATCCTTTCTTCGTCGTGCTCTTAAACCCAATCGTTAATCATTCGGAGCCCGCGGGAGGGGAAGGCGGGGGTGGGGGCGGGAGAGCTCCGGGTTCGCCGCCGCAGCGCGCGCGCTCAGGAAGCCGGGTGGCTGTGACCCCCCTCCCGGGCCTCTTTCCCCTCCTTCCTGCCCTCGCTCCCCACCTCCTTCCTCTCCTCCTCCTCCTCCTCTCCTCCTCGCTCCGCCACCCGCGCCCGGGGCAGCTACTCCCTCCCCACGTCACTCTCCAGCGCGCCATGCAAATCACCGCCGCCGCCGGCTCCCATTGGCCGCGGCGCGCTCATTTAATGGCAGCCCGGGCCCGGCGTATGGCTGCTGGGCCCCGCGCACCGCCGGCCCCGCGTGCGCCTCCGCTCCGAGCGCACG